AGTGTTGACCATGTAGGACAGGACGTGATCCATTAGGGCATACTTGCCCAGGAAGGTGAGGAAGAGGGTGCGCCATTGACTGTAGTTGTTGCCGGCGTGAACCAACACAACAAGAACAAGCACCTTGATGTTGAGAATGGCGAGGGCCTAGGCATGGACGACAACGTGTTGGGCCTGGTAGGCGTCGAGGGCGGCCGCGCAATCCACAGTCGTCTTCTGGTGGGCCACCTTGACCTCATGCTGGATATGGAAACGCTTGGCGGTGGCAGCCTACTCGGCCTCGCGCTCGCGCTAGAGGCGAAGTTGCTGCTCGGCTTCAGTTTCTGACATGATGACGCTTGGAGAGATCATGGCGACAAATGCAGCAACATGTGAGGGGCGTGCACAACTGGCTAGATGAGGCAACGACAGGCGGGCAAACACAATGCATGGAAGGAAAGGATGGAAGAAGGGAAGTGGTCAGCGAGGATCACGTGGGCACGGGTTTGCGTGAGCGGGGAAGGATGGCATAGGCAGGGGCACGCATTTCTCGCATGTGAGGAAGGGTGTGCACATTTTTCTATGGATGAGGTCACACAGACGCGCGGGGCGCGGAGGAGGTGATGCATGGTGGAAAAGGCCATGCGCAGGAACTGGCCGACGTGGACACACATTGCGTGAGGAAGAATGATCCGCACGTGGAGAGAGAGGATGCACGCATGGGTGCAAGAGTGGTGGGGACGGGAGGACAAACACGTCCTCCTTGGGACGCGGCATTGCACGGAGGTCCTGCGTGGGCGCAAGGAAGGCATGGAGCCACACGTAGGATGGGTTGGAGGGTGCGTGACCCATGTGGCAGAGGTGACCGTGCAGAGGGAGAGGAGCAGAGCACGTTGTGGGACAGAGTAGAGCGTATCACGTGGCCGCGCGTGCATAGACGCGGGACATAGGGGAGAGTGCGTTTCATGGCACACCGGGAGAGAATGCGCAGCCGTGGGACGACGGCGCGGGGAAGGAGGCTGGTGAGAGGCTCAGAGGAGGTGGTGAGTGTGGGGCTCAGCGGCGGCATGGATCGGTAGCCGGTGAGCTGAGGGCTCAACACCGGCATGGAATCGGTAACCGGCGAGCTGAGGCTCAGCGACGACACAGTTAGGGTTTGCGGGAGCAGGGCCAGGGAGAGGTCGCAGGAGCAAACCGTCTTTATGATACCATGAGAGTGTATGGACTAGGGAATGCTTCATGTATTGATTAGTGAATAACAATGGATACATATAAGCATGGTGGAGAGCCTGGGTCGATAGGCCTACGAGCCAAGGGCCCACTCTCTAACTGTGGCTATGGTGTGACATAGACTAGTCATACCCCATCTTGTAAAAGGTTCAAGGTACAAGTGTCAAGGACCTATATGTAATTTGTAAACTGAGGAGGGTTGGAAGGGAGATGGGTCGAGGGTTCCATCTGTCTCGACTATAAATATAGGCCATAGGGGAAGAGTTAGGGCCTAATCTCTAGCATACCCCTTTCTCCCTTTTTCAGCTCAGTCTTAACAAGTGTCTCATGGTTTTTTGAAGTTGGTGGAGATTGGAGCAGGCTAAAAGTCTTCATACACAGGTGAATACCTCATGGTTTAATTAAAGGTTGATTGCCCAAATTTGTACTCAGGTTGTTCCTTAATTTCATGTTTTCTACTTGTGTGACTTTAGAGCTATTTTCTTGGAATTTTCGTTCTTGCAATTAGCCTATGTTTTGGGGTCCGATTTTTGGGGGAAACTGGTGCTCACACACATGAGAAGATATCTTTTCCATCAATTGATTTAATCCTCTCACAAGTACCCTGGATTTTGGTTGTTCCCCATTTCTCCCTTTTCTAGCTAGGGTTTCTCGATTTCTGAAATTGCTGTTTAAATTCTTAATCTTTTTGAGGGATTAGTGCTGTGACGGGTCGCATATGATGTGGCAAGGCTATGGTTAAAAGCTCAGCTCAATCGGATCTGATTGTGTGAGGTTTTAGAAAAATCTTGTGTTCCTGTGTTGTTTGTTTTGTGCGTGCTTCTGGTTATCGGAAGGTGGAATGGTGAGATCAAGAGCTCACCCACAGGCCGCAGATAGTAGGATGTTGATAGAGTTCAGTGGTTGTGCTGTGCGTCTCTCTGATTCTCTCAACCGTATCTGCTTCCGCCGTCCATCAGCTCCAGGTCAAAGCAGCACGGCTGTTCTTTTTTCTTTAACCCTCGTTGTGTTGCTCTCTGGAACAGTAACCAATCATTCTGTCAATAACGAGGGCACAGAGCATTAATAATCAATATACTATTGGATCGATTGCTCTCTCGTGAATGCTTTCTTGGGATAGAGGTTTCGGTTTGTACTATTTGTTGCAATGATGTCTGTATTTTTGTTTGCACATCTGCTATACATACTACAAGTGTCTGAAATCGAGATTGGTTTTAGGTGCCGTTCTCTTTGGTCTGGTTTGGAAACTCCTACAGAACTAGAAATGGACTTGGGGAGGTAGGCCGGCCAGGCATAGGAGGCAGGCAAGGGGCAGAGTGGTGAGATGGTGGGATCACTGCCAGGCACGGGAGGAGGAGGAGGAGGAGGAGGAGGAGGATGGCGGTTGGGTCAGGGAGGGGCAGCAGGGCAGGGGAGCCGAGAATGGCCCGGTGACGCTGGGTTTGCATGGCGGGGTGTAGTGGAGGTAGGCTCAGTGGTGGCGATGGCGCTGGGGATGGGAGGTGGCTGGCGATAGGCAGAGCAAGCATCAAGAGTATGTGGGCTGCGTCAAAGAAGAAACATCGAGGTGGAAGTAGAATAGTATGAGACTTGAGCTGGGAATGTTTAGATTCAGATTGGATGCTGCATTCATTGCCTGAAAAAAGTGAGAAAAAACAGGAACCTATCGGATAGAAATTCATTTTTTTCACAGTTAGATTGTGGCCCCTTCTATGCTTCATTGCCCCTTCTCACTTCACTATATCGGTGGGTGGTATCACAGCATACTCTCTTTCTTCTTTAGTTTTACGAAGGAGTTTTGAATGATGCACTTTGTTCCGTAATTTCATTCAAGAGATCCTAAGGAAAAGAGTTGGGTTTTCACCGAGAATCTAACTGTTAGGTTGATTTGACTAGTTTTACCATACTTTGAGAATGAGTGACCTAGAATTTACTAGTATCACTAATTCCATATGTAATGGAAAAACATGTAAAATGGAATTTGATCCCTAATACTGTGTCCTATACACAAAAGTTCAATTCAAAGTATCCACTCGATATCACATCAAATAAATGAGCTATGTCCTTGTAGCCTCTATGCTAGACATCAGTATAGCCGCAACAGCTTAGCATACATATAATTTTATTTTTACTCATTATTTCACGTTGTACTTATGCTGTGTAACCTGGCTGTTTGCATTATTAATTACTAATAAGTTTATTTTCGTCTATGTAGACAAGAAGAATCCATTAGTTTATGGAATGCTTACTTTAAGCAATTTTTTCTTGTGCTTAGATGCATATTATATTCATGTTCTTCGAGTTAGTATGACTTATTTCAAAAACCTATATGTACAATTAATCAATTATTATATGGCATTGTAAAGGATATAGAACAGGAGGGAGCAATAACAGAATCAGAGACAAAATAATTCTTGATTTATGATGAAACATTCAATCATTTCTCCAGCTACCATCGGTGCACAATATAGGAAAATCCGTTTCATTTAGTAATATTGTTCTGGATAATGTTTGGAAAAGCCTTTTCGTCTATAATCATTGCATAGTTTTCATCGTCACAGACCTACTTATATATGCCGGTAGCATGTATAGTAGCTAGAATTCAGTTTTACCATCAGATGTCTCTGGAAGAATATATGTTGTCCACTTAGAATTTAATTAGAACATTTGTAAACACATATAATTATTAAGTCACTAAAAACTTAACTGGATGACAGTGAAATCCTTCATAATAATGTGCACTGCATCAAGATCTTTTAATTAACAAAAAGCAAATGTCAGTAGCTCCACAAATTCAGTAAAAGATCTTAGCCTGTGCAGATATTGTGATATATTGATCTGAGTTGACACTATGCTGTTTGTTCAAGGAAGATGGTTCAGATTTTTCTATTTTTTTGGCTTAATATTGCCAATAACAACAAATGCCTTGTTGATTTCCATGTTATAATGTGCCCTCTGTGTGCATGCATGCTGAGATATATCCTTGCTAGTTTCTGTCACATGAAAAGTGAAAACCATTACAATTTATTTGAATTTGTACCATTATTATTATTATACGTTTGCTTGTTGAAAAACTAGGTAGATTAAGATGTATTTTTATGCCTACTGTGGGATAATTGACTGGTATATTTCTGGAATACACATTTGGTGCTCATTCAAAAAAAAATTAATAGAAGATACAGGCTCTCCCATGCATATTCTTCCTTGTTTATATATGCCTTTTAATATCCTTTACATTCTACTTGTCTTTAAATGTAACAGGATTGGGAAAAAGGGGCAGAAAACTATTGGCAAGATCGTCTCTAGAACCAAGTGAAACAATAGAGGAGAGGTTAGTAAGTAAAGGAATTCTTAGATATTATATCCACACTTAGCTTTCTTCCTACATAATTTATTTTCTATTTCTATGCCATTTATATGCTTGGTGGATATGCATGAGGTCATCCAATATATTACAAATGTTCCTACTTGACCTTAGATCATAGTCCTTTCTAGGTCTATTTATTTGCCTGTACGTATGACCTTTTCTACGTGGATTACGAATAGCAATCAATGAAACTGAAGAAAATGAAATTTGGGTCACCTTTGATACCCATAAAATTTATAATTCCTCTTCTATATGATATATTTATAGAATCATTAAGTTTCAATTGCTCTGCATTTAGAAAGTATGTTATGTGTTTACCATCTATCTAATTTCTTTCCATCTTTTCATTGTTGAATCCATCCAGTTTTGTTTATTGCATGCCCTGAACTGAGGGAAGGATTGTTCTTCAAGACACTTCATATAAATGGAGCAACAAGCTGGTTCTGTTACTACTGCTGTCCCTACTTCATTTGCCCCTGCAGTACCATCCCAAGCCATCAAGCCTTTTTCCAACAATCATGTTCCCGACACGATTGATCTCAGAGGAGACACAAAAATTATTGTATGCGCCCTTGCTGCTCCAGGCAATCCAGTTCCTGGTCCATTTCGTGCAGAACGCGAACGTCGAACGTTCTGGACAGCATGTCCAAATTGCAAGAAAAAGAACAAACATTCCATAGAGTATCTTGGTTGCAACATTTCTTGCCTTCAATGCAGTGAAACATTCAAAGCCACTGAAGTATCAAGACCTCGAAACCAACGTACAACCACTACAGAGAATGTTCACTCTGGAGCAATTGTTTCATCTCCAGGGACCATGGTGGAACCTAGCAAAATGACACCAACTGTGGAGACTTCTCTCCGAAAGAAGGTAAAAAGGGAGATCAATGCAACACAGGCTGGAGGTAAACATAGAAACAATCTTCAGGGTAGCTTTGATGTACAAAAAAGAAATACAACTATGGAGCATAACATTATTAGAGGAAAGGCTCATCATGAGGAGAGCCAGATCCAACAAATATTAGAAAGAGAATCCCCAAGGATGAGATAAAGAAGTTTTTGATGTCCAAGGGGAATAAGGTCATTGAAGCAACAATCAAAGGAAACAATGTGAAAAAAAATGAAACTGACAAGCGAACCCCACGGTAATATTTATATGTGTTTTAATGTCCTATTACTATTGTTCTAGGAATTTGTGTTACTTGTATTACAAATGGTTTTCTGTTCTAGTTTCATGGCTGAATAAGTCTAAACGAAAATTCAGCAATATAAATATATCTTTCTTTTACTGGTTGTCTTATTGGTGAATCTGTACAATTTAACTAGCTTTAGTATTGTCCCATGAGTAAAAATTAATGCATGTTTTGCAAGCAACCATGAATTTTTTTTGTCTCTATGATCCTAATCAATTACTCTTATGTTACACTACTTCACAATATGAAATCCTGCAGTGTGAAAAAACTGATAAGTACTTTCTGCATCTCTAGATTAGACATGTCTTATTACTTTGTTATATTACAAGTCTTGTTACGATGAATTTTATTTGTGGTATGAGCATGCATTATACTATTTTGTGTGGTATGAGTATGAATTATGTCATCGTATTAGACTAAATTTGCTATTTATTTACTACATTTGACACACATACTGGCTTCTGTAAAAATTCGAAAGGCATTAAAATGCTGACTTATTTGCTTCAGAAATTTGCATTGCAAGGAATAACATTGATAGAAATATATATGATAGCTTTCATTGATACCTTTCAAGGAATCATATGCCCTGGTTATGATTAATTATCTGCTCTAATTCTATAACTAATTCTAGCTCATGTTTCATTTCTTGTGGTTGCTGTAGATGAACACAATGGCAGCACTGAAGGACCTGTGTGTTCTAATCAGTTTCAACATCCCAAGACGAAATTCCAAATGAAAGATTCTGCTATGAGGAATGCTCAACTTTAGTTTTTGAATCAAAAACTTTTTTTACATCCAATAAAACTTGGATTTTATAACAAGGTTGCTGTGGGGGGTATAAATGAATCTATTACCCTCAATTATGCTTTTGGATTTTTTTGGCAAGAACATTGTTAGGTGCTTTTGTCCTGAGAAATGATTGCACTTGAACGTCACAATAATATACCTTTCTGCATGTCTTTTTCACATCCAGAAATGATTCAGATCTCTGGCTGTGCTTGAACTCCCCCCTACATCTGATCATCTGGCTTGCTAGTTTCTGCGATGTGTGTCAATGCTAAAATGTATTATAAGTGGATTACTAGATCAACGTTTCCTTTCATTTTATTCAAACAAGAACAAGAGAGGTGTCTTGAGATATTTCTTATCCACTGTTTACATGTAAACCTTCCAGAGTTGGTACGACTAAGTAAAGTACCTACTCCATTGAACCCTAAAAAACATTCACTAACCTTCATATGAAAAAAGAAATGAGGATTAGACACTACCGGAAACAGTAATTTTACCGTGTGCCACGGACACTCGGCAAAGCCCAAAAAACACTCAGTAAAGAGCACACGACATCTACAGTACCGGCAAACAGTACCTTTGCCAAGTGTTTTATGTCGAGCACTCGGCAAAGACTTTGCCGAGAGCTGAAAACTACACTCGGCGAAAAAAAGTACGTCACAGGGTGGAAACGGTCACGGCACGTTTGCCGAGTGTTAAATATTAGGCACTCGGCAAAGCTTGCCTTTTTGCCGTGTGTCAAAGTTTAGGCCCTCATCAAATCTGGCCTATTTGTCGTGTGTCAAAGTGTGAACACTTGGCAAAGATTGATTTTTGCCATGTGTCAAAGAGGGGGCACTCGGCAAAGTTGCTCCTTTTGTCGTGTGTCAAAGTATGGGCACTCGGCAAAGACCGTTCCAAATCTATAGAATTTGGCTTCTTTGCCGAGTGTCAAAGTTCAGACACTCGACAAAGATGCCATTTTAGTCCTAGAATGCACAGAATTTTGCCACGTGTCCACTTTGCCGAGTGTTTTACACCTGGCACTCGACAAAAAGCCTCTTTGCCAAGTGTTACACTCGGCAAAGATGCCACAAATAATCGGTTTATTTGGTTCGGTCACAGCCATGTACCACATTCAAATAAACATCACATCCATCACATATACTTCACAATAGGCATCACAGGCAATTCATATAGATATATCGACAACACATAGATGCAAATAAACATCAGAATCCACAAATAGTAGTCACAACTCATTCACAACCACAAGTAGTCACAGGTAATCCACAAATGCAAATAAAAATAAAATTACAAGTACTTAGGCCACGAGTTCACTGTGACAGGGCTTCACTTAGGCCACGAGTTCCACTACGACGGGGCTAGGGCATGAGGCTCATTCGATGCCACCGATCAATGCTGCACAAAGGAGAAGGGATTGACATGTGTGAGACAAGATTAAACAACACTAGTAGTCTCATTCAATGACGCAACGGAATCACAATATAAAAGAATCCAGGGGGAGGTTCATGCCACGGCCTAACTCTTAATAGTCACATAATGAAATATTCATTAAGATGGTAGGAAGTACTAACTATGCAAGGGGGCTGTTGTCAGCATTACATTGTAGATATATAGTGTTGTATACTGATTAGGATAGCATACTAAAAACCATGGAAATAACAGGATACTCACAATACAAAAAAACTGAAACACACTAATATGAGGAACAAACTAAAAAAAGACATTTTAAATAACTGACAATCTCTAGATGACATTTTGAATAATTTTACTCTCTTTCAAAGGATGCAAAGTAAGATTGATTCTGCATAAACTAGATTATAAGGTTGTAAAGCGACTCACAGTGCCTGAAGCAGTATTTGGAGCAGGAGGAGGAGGGGTTGGAAACGGTGGTGGAGGTTGACCGATTGCAGCATAAACACCCTCATATATTCAAACATCTGTAGCTCCATCTTCTACCGCTCTGCCACCATCTCTGCCTCCATCCTCTAGCGCTCTGCCTCCATCTTCGCCTCTAGCTCCTCCCGGCGCCTCGTTTCTTGTTCTAGTTGAGCCTACAATATTTTATCCCAATGTTACAATGCAATGCAAAAGTATGTAAAAATCAATGAACGATGAATAAAATAGAAATAACTTGGAGTGTGTTCATCTGGAACCGTGTAGAGTCCGACCGTGGGCGTATCGCAGGACTGGAACCCATGCTCCGTGCTCGAATCTAGGAGAGAGTGGGAGTACTGACCGTGTCGATGGTGCCATCGCCAATCCAGAACCAGCCATGCTTCTTGCCTCCTCCCGCCCTCATGACCACTTCTCCATCAAGGTCATGGGTGCTCGGATCGTACTCTGGGCCACGGTCTTGCCTTGCCATCGATGTGTATCCTTCGAGACGGTTGTGGACGGACTCGTTGCTGTACGCCGAGGGCGGGTTCTCCGGTTGTAGGCGACATCCGATGTCGCCTTCCCCTTGTGGGCCAAAGCATATGCCACGAACTAGGTGTAGGGCTGGCCACCATGTGACGTCAACTGCAAAAAAAAGCAACATGATTAGAAATTATACAGAGTTTTGCCTTAGAATAAAGAAATGAATTCATGTACCCATCTAGCCACGTATTCTGAGAGGTTGAGGTTGCCTTGATGGTGTGTTGGACCCGGCATCAGCAAACGCCGCTCCCGGCAAGCATTTTGATTCTCCTGCCACGCGGGGTCACACCACCTTTCCACCATCCGGACCTAGCACTGCATATCATAGGCGCACCAACACGGAGGCACCTACGTCATCAAGTATATGACATATAAGAAGATGAAATTAAGCGTAATTAATCTCAGAAAAAATAAGTATTAATGTTCTATATTTACCTTCATGTATTGTTCTGAGGTCAGGCTCATGGTTCTTGCCGCCCTTTTAGGGATCATCTCTCTAAGAAATTCCGCATATTGCATGTCCTTGACAAGTTTTTTGGCGGCTTTATCAGCCACAACATCCGCCTTAGCCTCGTATCCCTCCTCGCATCTAAAGAAATCCTGCATATAGATGCGATGTATGCGATGTATCCAGTCATTAATGTCCAATCAATGCGATGTATTGAGCAATGTAGTGCGAGAAAGACTTACCCAAAGCTCGTCCTTGACACGCTGTGCCTTATCGGTGAAACACCTGCCATCTTGATCAGTGGTGTCGGAGACGGCGGCATAGTGAGCCCACGTGTAGGCCGGCTCGACAGTTCGTCGAACTGCACCAGGCCAGGGAACTTTTCCTTGATCAAAAGACCAAGGATGCCGTTCACATGGCGTGCGTGATCACCCCCACCGGCCTTCCTCCAACCCTTGTCCAAGTGATTAAGATAAATTATTAGTTTCTATTATAATTTTGAACATATCAAACGAAAAATTAGTGATAACATATAAAGTTACTTCTCTCCATCAGGTCGAATCAGCGGGCGTCTCTCAAGAGGTATAGGTCGCTTCAAGAGGGTCAAGGGACCTCGCAACCACACACCTGTACTAGAGGAAGAGGTACCCCTGTCTCCTCCTCCATCCCTGCCTCCTCCTGCACCCCTGCCTCCTCCTCCACCTATACCTCCTCCTCAGAGGATGAGTGAGCAGAAGGTAACTCGGACGGCGATGAAGGTATAGGCGACGGTGGCCTCGTCTTGCCTCCACCCTTCGCTCGACCCTTGGGCCTACCCTGAGGTCTCTTCCCGGACCCCTTAGCTACATCGGACCCTTTACTCGTCGCTGTCGCTTTTGAGTAAAGCGACGTTATCCTCCTCATACCGCCCACCATTGTTCAATCACCTGCAATTAAAAAGAGTAAACCAATTAGCATAGATAATACATCAAAATAGATGCAAAATAAACAAAACATACTTAGAAAATAACATGGTATGACAAATAATAAATCAATTAGCACGGATTATACATGTATTAGAAATAATCATCATCATCGGGATTAGCTGGATCATAGGTCTCATCATCACTATCACACATGTCGATATAATCATCCCCATGCTCCGAAGGAGGAATGTCATCATCACCGTCGTTGCTTAGATGTAATTGCTGAAGTAATTCTAAGTCCTTCACATTATGAACCTCGTCACCGGTGTCCTCGTCAGCACCACATTCATTGTCTACTTCCATTCCCCGAGCTTCGGTTAAGTCTATCTCAAAACTCCCTTCGAGTACATCTTCTTGAAAGAACTTTCCGTCATATGTGTTGGGGTCTATGTTGTAATCTTGATTGTTTGGGACAGGTAGTTTACCGTGTGGCGATACTTTGTACACAACATCCCAACCCGTAAGATGGTCTACAATTTGGCATGGGTATGAGAGATAATAAACTTGCGTTGCCTGTTGAGCCACAATATAGACACCGTCTCCTGGTAAGACGGATGATTGTCGAATTTCGACTAGTCCAAGATTAGGTCCGCCTCACTACTTCAGGATCAAACCAATGACATTTGAATATAACAGGATTAAGAGGTTTGCAACCATGAAACATGAGTTCGTATATTTCTTCAATTCTTCTGTAATACTCAACCCCATCTAAGCCTTGCGTAAAAACTCTGATATTTGTGGTTCTTTGATTGGGCCGACTCTGCTCATGGCTTGTTGTATGAAAGCGATATCCATTAATATCATAACCGGTAAATGTCCATTAATTTTGACTAGTCATATTCAGGAGGACCATAGGAAGAGAGGAAGAAAGGAAACATGATGACGATGTGTAAGACGCGATATGGGGAAGTACTCTCCTCATGGGCAATGTTCTTTGTTCTTTTAAAGAGTATTGACCCTGGTGCATAATGTTGCAACTGAAAACCATTGTCCACACGATGATTCCCACACAAAAAACCAACCGACCTTAGTCCTGTAGTCCTCGGGAAGACCACGGGAAGAGAGTAAGAAACAAAACAAGATGACGATGTGTAAAATGTGACATGGGGAAGTACTCCTTGAGGGCAATGTTCTTTGCTCTTTTAAAGAGGATTGACCTAGTGCATAATGTTGCAACTGAAAACCATTGTCCACACGATGATTCCCACACACAAAACCGCTGTTAATCTTTATGAGTCACAACAAAACAATACACCATGTAAAAACTGATAGAGTAAAGAAAAAGATAAATGATCAATGGGCTTATTAGCTCACACTTGCATCGTATCACCACTCAAAGGGGAAAAAATCCAATTTACCTCCTTTAACTATCGCGGACATCTGATTTTCCTCACTACAAAACCAGTTTTTTTACCTCTTTCAACTTTTAAAACCGTTTGTTTTTGCACCTTAGGTGGTTTTGCTGATGTGGCGCCACGTCAAAGGAGGTAAATCGAACTAAATTGAAAGTTCAGGAGGTAAATCGGACTAGAAATATTTTAAAAATAATATATCCAAAAATCATAAAAATAAATTTCAAAATTGTATCTAAATATTAAGTAATGCAATAAAAAATCATAAAATCTTGTTTAATCATAGAAAATTCATAGAATTTGTTTAATCCTGGCAAATTATTCTAATTTTTTTTATAAAACCCTACTCTATCTTAAGGTGCCTTATGAACTCATTTTAGTGCTTATTTGCTAGTAGAAACTCTCATTATCTATTATAATTAGTCGATGTTAATCACCTAGTTTATGTAGAAGCGCTAGTGGAGCGTCCTTAGGACCGTGGGCGTTAGTCCCCTAATCCTAGATAAATTTAGAACTATTGAATTTAGTTAAGTTCTATACAATGAATTATGGAGCATACCATGATAGGGAAATCTAAATTAATAATGTGTGTGCAGAAGTACAAATAGAGTCAAGTGACATGAACATGATTGAGTGGCACTTGTGTTTACACTAAATAGTATTAAGTACGATGTGGTTACATGACACTTGTGTCGTCATCAAAGTCACTTGGTCGTTAACGTAGACCAATTATAACAAATAATGAGAGCATGTGCATGCTAACTTAGCTAGGGGAGTAGCACCCAATACAGTTGTGGCGATGCTCTATCGGCGCTTCTACGTAGTCAGACAATCAATATCGACTAATTATAATAGATATGAGAGCTTCTACTAGCAAATAAGCACCAAAATAGGCCCATCAAGATTCAATCAGTTTTAAGCTAGACAACATAAGATAGGACATTATTTTATAAAAAACAATGTGGAATTAGTTTCAATTTTCTGAGACAAAATAAAATTTCTATGAATTTTATAAGTTGAAACCAGATTTTAGGATTTTTCAAATTTTATTTTTATGATCTTTTATATATTTTAAAAGGTTTTTAGTCTCAATTATCTCCCTGAAACTTTCAACTTAGTCCGATTTACCTCTCTCCGATGTGGCGCCATATTAGCAAAATCACCATCAAAATTATCCAAAGTGTAAAACAAACTTTAAAGTTGAAGACGGTGAAAAAAACTGGTTTTATAGTTTAGGCAGAAAAATTAAACAAACGCGATAGCAGAGAGATTTAAATTAGACTTTTTTCCCAGCTGAGTTGGTTCCAACAATCCAACTCAGCCCAACCTCGCAGCCCTAACTAATTGCGGCCCACATAACAACCAGACCCAAACGAGGTGGGCCAGGCTTTTCTCTCCTCCTTGCCACCCAAGCCGCTAAGCCGCCCGCCCGCAACCCCGCAGCAACACAGCTGGCTCCTTCGCCGGCTTCCGCACCAAAATAAAAAGGGCGCTCCGATGCCGCACCACCCCCAACGCCTTCTTCCTCCACCATCCTACCAGTACCAGGCAGCAGCCGGGCGGGACGAGCCCGCCGCCGCCGCGCCACGCTCATCCTCTCCGGCCTCCTGTCCCTTCTCCCACCGCCACCACCATGACCGCACCGCAGCCTCCGCCCGCGCCGACGAACTTTCTGGCGGACAAGAAGTTCCCCGACGACCTCGTGGTTTCGATACTCGGACGCGTCCCGTGCAAGGACGACCGCGCCAGCATGTCCCTCGTCTGCAAGGCGTGGCACGACAGGATCGACCGCCTCATCAAGGAAAAGCGCACGCCGCCGATTTTTATTTTGAGCCGCGCCCATCCGCTTTTGATCCGCCGCTGCTTTTTGTGGTGGCTCCTCCTCCCCTCCAAAGTTGTTCCGCAACGACCCCGCCCTTCTTCCGCGCCGCCTGCGTCCTCAGCGGCTGCTGCGTCCACCCCCACCACAACCACCGCACCATCCTCCCGCCCGAGGCGCGCTTCGTCGGCTCCTACGACGGCGCCTGGATCTTCCTCTACTCCGACGAGATGCGCGCGCACGGGCTCCTCAACCTCCGCACTCCCGCAAGAGCTCGTTCGCGATCGTGAGGGACACCGGATTGTCTACAGTATGGTCATGCTCGCCGCCACGCTCTCGTCATCGCCGGACGACTCCAAGTGCGTCGGCGCCACCATCATCGCGCGGGAGCGGGAGCAAGCCCCAGACGAGTTTTTGCAGCAGCCCTTCAATCGCTGGATTGCGTTCTGGCGAATGGGCTGGGAGGTGGCGCTCCAATTGGTTCCAGGCGAGGACGTGGCTGTGGACCTGGCTCTGTACCTTACGGAGGACGTCGTCTACCACGACAGCGCCTTCCATTTTCTGCTCACCCGTGGCGGAGCCTACCAAATCCTCGTGTGTACGCCGACCACGAATCCTGAAGATCCTATGGTCCTGGAGATCAATTGGGCGCTTCGCCGCTTCATGCCGCCCGGAGAGCGCATCCCCGGCCAGAACGCCACCGTCCGCGCTCGATACCTCGTCGTGTCCCGCGGCGAACTGCTCATGGTCGTCAGGTTCACGACTGGTGCTAATCAGCCGACGTCCATGTTCAAGGTGTTCCGGGAGACTAAACGGCCGCAGATGCCTAACGGCGGCGACTTCCCCGTGGCTCTGTACCCCTGGGAATGGAGCGAGATGGACACGCTGGATGGCCTGGTTCTGTTCGTCGGCTATGGCTGCTCCAGGTCCTACCAAGCGGATGAGGATAAGTACCCAGGCTTCAAGCCCGGCATCTACTTCTTGGATGATGGCGTGTTCTGCGAGGCACTCATGGTCGGCGACGCCAATACCAGGCCGTACCCCTGCAGGGACAATGGGATGTGGTCCGAATCCGAATGCCGTATCCAGCGCTGCTTCCCGCCTCCAAACTCATCGGACTACTCTCCTCCGGTTTGGCTTTTCCCTTGAGGCGACAGGATTTTTTCATTGGCTACCGTGAGATTGATTTGTTTGAGATCGTGTTAATTGACGTTCTGAGGTAGTTGCTGATTCCAATCTTGAGTGATTGCAATATTCAGAGTGAGTGATTGCTAAACCTGAATCCAATGTTCTCTGATTTCTGTCTGCGGTGTTGCATCTTTTTTCTTTACTAAATGAAGAGCAAACAATGGTTGCTGTTCATGGCAATTCGATTTGCTTGTTTGTTCAATCGGGTTTGAACATGTATTTGCTACTGCTTTGGGTCTTCCTTGTCTCAGTACAGGTTAGAACTGAATTGGAAGTGCAAGGGATCTGAATCAGTCAGATTCTGTATCCTAACTCATTCACAGTATATTTCAGACTCTTGTCTTGCTGCTCAGATCAGTGATGTTCTCATGGCATGATGGTTGTTGATTAGTCTAGCACAATGCTACATTGTGGTTGAACTGTGAACTCAAGCAAAGCCTTCTTTCAATTTCAGTAATCACTTTGCAACAACATATCTGTGCATTGAATTGTTAGATTTTGTCAGTACTAATTCTCAGTGTTGCTTTCCTTGCGTACCCAACTTATTAAACTTGAGTATGTTCGTGGGAACTGAATTGTGAATTTGTGATTATGTCATCTTCTGAACAATTTTCAGTATTCAAACCCATATTGTTATGGAGTTTTCTTTGTCTGACATAAAGTAGTTGTTGAGAGGACTGAGAGACTGGAGATTCTAGCTAAGCCTGAATGCTCCTTAATGGACTTGGCTCACTGAATTTTCCTCGCAAGTGTCCAGAAATTTATAACGCTTCTGTCAGATTATTGCTCTACTTCAGTACCTGGACATCTTGTCTCATATTTCTTATTCTGTATAATAGTTTAAAATTTGTGTGCATTGCAATCACCAAATTTTACATTACGCCTCTCACTGAAATTTAACACTGATACAGGGCTTGCATAACAAAAAGCTGTGAAGTCTGAATAGCCTCCTTTCAATTTCAATAATCACTCTGCAACAAGATCTGTGTGCACTTACATTTGTTCATACTAATTCTCAGTTTTCCTTTCCTTTTTTTTAACATGTCAGTCTTCCTTTCCTTGCCTATCCATTGTCTTAAACTTGAGTGCAGAATATTTTTGTGGAATCTGAAATGCGATTATGTTATCTTTGGAAGAATTCTGTAGCCATTCCCATTTTGTTATGAAGTTCTCTGTCTCTAATGTAAAGTAGGTGCTGAGAGGATTGAGAGCCTAGAGATTCTAAGACTGAATGCAGATTACACAATGATTAACTAATGACTCACTTAACTTTCCTTCCCATGTGTCGATAAATTTGCTTCGCTTCTGTCATATTATTGTTCTAGTTCATTGTGACATAATGTAACCTGGATATCTTGTGCCATATTGCTAATTCTGTATAATAAAATTTCTGTCGCACTGCAATTCCCAAATCTTACGTTGCGCGTCTGACTGAAATTTGAGACTGATACAGGCCCTGCGTAAAAAGTTAGAATTGTTATTCTAAACCTGAATGCAGATTCTACAATGGCTTACTATCTGTTCCCTTGTATTTCCAAATTTCTGTTTATAACTCTCTGAATTTCACTAACATTCAATGCAAATCTCAATTGGGCAGAACACAGATTTTATCTAGTTCATTATGAATGGTATTTCAGTTTCCAGTAGATGTAATGCTACCTGGTAAATATTATGTTTAATTTTGCTGATTCTGATGTGAAAGTTGGACCCCCTTCATTTGAGAAAGGTTTAGCTGAGGATGTATTGTCCCTTGTAAGTTCTGTGTATCTCCTTTCTCGTTTTGCCTAATGAGTAATGACGTGCTTTAAATAGAATGTGTTCTTTTATTTACCGTTCTTGTACCTCTTGGCTCTTCACATGTACCTACCATATCTGTATCATATCATCAAATTTCTAGATCTTAATTGAAATTACTGTGTGCTATGTACAGATCACTCATCATAATGAAGTGTTTATGGACAAATGCTCTGACTGTAACTAGTAAAATTGTTAATTTTTACTTGATCACATTTTGCTTCAGGGAATGCATCCATGACAAAGTTTCCTGTGGTCTCATCCAGTAGATATCTAGCTAAACTCCCCTAATTTTGTGTTTATTTATCTCTTTCTGTGATTTCTCATTTGTCTTTATCTGGAAACTGGAATGTTGCAATTTTTTTTCTCAAACAGCGCAGGAGAACTGCGTGTCATTTCATTAAGATAGAAAAATGTTACACAGGTCTAAGAGACCCAACTCACACCCCACACCCTGAATACTAAGTTACAGACTCGCCACAAAAACAACAGAAACGACCAACATGTTGTAATTTTTGCAGCAATATATATATTTTTAAACTTATCGCGATTTAATGTCTTTTTTTGTTCTTTGCAGCTTAGGAGAACAGATTGCAAGAATTGTCTTGTTTGGTCAAAAAGTGATGACCTAGGAAGAGATATAATTAAGTTGTCTAAAGATGTTATTGTACATTGTTCTCTCTTTTTCATTTCTTTATTTGAACGATCCATCTATTATCTGTGCCTACGAGGTTACGACCACTTCTACTACACAATTTAACAGGCGGCTCATCTGTTATAGGTTGGCTATATTGTTATGGTGGATAAATCTACCAACAGAAGAACTGAGTTAGTGAGGATTGAAGGGGCTAAAGTTGCTGGCATATATCATCGTTTGATCCATGAGAAGGTCATGAAGGTCATGCGCAGGTACATGCATGTGATAACCTACACTTAGTGTCAAGCGCCTTGGCACTCAACGACGGCAGCCCGCGACTACGTAGTTACGTAGTCGCGCTCCAGTCCTCACCGCGAGGCTATACCCCTCCGCTGGTGGCTTAACGAGAGTAGAGGTAGGAGATTAGATGATAACTCATTCCCCCTTCATTGTTTGGAGTCCCAGGAATATATGAGCCAACCGGCTAACAAACTTGGAAACAAACGATCCTAATTTTAAGGCCTAATTTACTCCTAGCCACTGGGTCCGGCCCTGCCATCCTCGTCCGAGGTGATCGCGGCCCTTGCCGCGTCGCGCCCAGCCGCGTCGCTGCCCTGCTGGATGTCTCGCGCCTGCCTTTGCTGCCCCCACATGACATCTCCCCTCCTCGGATGTCTTGCTTGGAAATTGCTCGCTGAACGTGCCTCTTCCCAGTGTCGTTGTCCGGCCCCGACATGAAATCTCTCCCGCCCTCGAGCTCTGGGTTACCACACCATCCTGGATGTGTGGAAGCTTGAAATTGCTCGCGGGCGAGGGCGTGTCGAGGTCTTCCTAGGTCGCCACGTGACTCCGGCGCGGTTCGCCAGCGCCCGTAGTAGCCTGGGTAGGGAGGACATGGCAATGTCGGAGCGCGCGAAACGCCTAATCGCCCACCGATAAGACACTTGTCGATGCCGATCGTAGTGGTGCTTCGAACAATCTGCGCCGCTCAACCGGCGAGCCGCATTCTCCATGTCTTACCACACCATGGTGGATGTGTGGCGGATGGTGGGTGGGTCGCGCGCACCGCAGAGGCACGCTCCTAGAGCGAGGACTGAACTTCTTGAGGCGCTCATGGAACAAGCAATGCGTACATGGATGCGAGCCTCACGGCGGAAGGTCCAACGTCATGTGCGACATGCCCATTAGCGTCGTGAGCTGCCATGAGCACGGGTCGCGGTCCGAGACCATGGCCGGCATGTTGGGAAAATGAAAATCACGGCCTACGGTCGATGCGCCAAGGGGATGAAGTGGCGATGACACGGTCCCGAGGATCACCGACTTCCGGTCACTCGCGGCAAGGCCTCCACGAAATCAAGGCCGATGTCGGCCGCGATGGTAGGATCTCCCCGGCAGGAGCCCGCGGGGTGGAGGTGCTCCCGACTTGTACCTGTAGAGCCGCCGTCGACAAAGTCCTGCACCGCATGTTGGGAATGAAAATCACGGCCTAGCGATGCGCATCATGCGGCGGACACCCTCATGTCTGTCATCACGCGCCGCCACTGATCTCCTGCAGAAGGGCGTGGACAGCCACCAAGGCCGGATCCGTGAGCACCCGGTGCGTGCTGCGGAGGCGGCCCGATGAAGTCGTGGACAGCCACCAAGGCCGGATCCGTGGCCTGGGCGTGGCGGAGGCGGCTGATGAAGTCGAAGCGGGGGCCCTAGACTGCCATGTGCGCGCCCGTAGAGTCCTCCTCGGTGTCGCGGCGTGAGAGGGCGTCGGCCACCGTGTTCGTCACGCCGGACTTGTACTCAACTATGAAATCAAAGCCCAGCAGCTTGCCGACCCAGTGATGCTGGGGAATAGTCATGAGGCGCTTGTCGAGGAGGTACTTGAGACTGTAGTGGTCCGTCTTGATGATGAAGCGGCGCCCCCATAGGTACGGTCGCCAATGGCGGATGGTGAGGACGAGGCCGATCAGTTCTCACTCATAGGCCGCAAGGGAACGATGGCAAGGCGCCACCGGCCGGCTAAAGAATGCAATTGGGTGCGCCTCCTAGATGAGCACCGCCCCGAAGCCGTAAGTGGACGCGTCACACTCCACGATGAAGGGCCTGGAGAAGTCCGGTAGGGCCAGCACAGGGGCTGACGTCACCGCCCCTTTGAGGGCTGTGAAGGCCGCCGCGGCGTCATCGTTCCATGTGAACCCCTCCTTCTTCAGGAGTGCGGTGAGGGGTGCGGCGATGGCGCCGTAGTTATGGACGAATTTCCTGTAGTAGCCCGCCAGCCCGAGGAAGTCGCGCACCGCGCGCGCAGAGCGGGGCCGTGGCCACTCATGGATGGCCTGGACCTTGGCGGGATCCATCGCCACGCCGGATGCGGAGATGATGTGGCCGAGGTAGCTGACGGAGTCGACGCCGAACGAGCACTTGGACCTCTTCACAAAGAGGCAGTGTTGGCGCAGAATGGTGAGGACGACGCGGAGGTGTCGAAGATGGTCCGCCCAGCTCTTGCTGTAAATCAAAATATCGTTGAAGAAAATGAGGACAA